ATGAAGCATTATTGTGAAAAAAGATGGAGGAAAGAGCATCTCCATTTCACACATTGTTTCTTTAATAATTTCTCCAAGTTTCTCAAAGTCACGGTCGTTTATAACTTTAGAACAAAGCTTTCTGAAAAATCCACAAAAATCAATAATAACCTTCACTGTTTTTTTATCCTGCATAGTACTGCGTAGTGCCACAGGTAGCAGTTGATGAAGAAGTACGTGATAATCGTGAATTTTAAGTCCTAATATTTTCCTTTCTTGCACCTGGACATTGTTCGATATGTTTGCGGAGTAACCCTCTGGTAACTTTATTGATTTGAGGACTTGACAAAATATTTGCATCTCAACTTTCGACATCATAATACGAGACACGGGCAATTCTAATCTGTCATTTCCAATTATTTTTGGCTACAGTTCCTCTCTAATGTTCAAAGCAGTTAGATCTTGACGAGCTCGTAGATCATCCTTTGATTTATTAGCATCTTGCAACAGTGTGGACAAAAGATTATCACAAATATTTTTTTCAATGTGCATAACGTCCAAGTTGTGACGTATTTTTAACTCTTTCCAATAGGGGAGTTGAAAAAAATGCTGAATTTTGTCCATCCTGAGGGCAATTTTACTACTTCAACCCCATCACTCACCGCTTGTGCTTGTCTTTTTCGTTTTGGTATCCTTTTGTTAATACGCAAGTTCCTTACTCCAAGTAAATCTTCTTTCGAATAGTGCTTCTTTCCAAACCTGACAGCAGGGAACCTCTCAAGCAAATGTACAATCTGATCTCCACTTAATGGACGTGGAGCATCTCTCTTCTCAACAGTACCATCAAAAAAATTGCTCCATTTTCTTGTTCTGTACCTGTGTTTTATGTTCAACCACCTTCTATTAAACCAATAACAAAACTTTCGACTGTGCTGCAGATAAACACCTTTGAATTCTGGACCACACACTGGACATGCATATGTTCCCTTTGTAGACCAACCTGAAAGATTCGCATAGGCTAGAAAATCATTAATTGTCCATAGTAAAATAGCATGTAGTCTGAAAGACTGCTTTGCATGAGTACCATATGTCATAACCCCTTCAGTCCAGAGTTATTTTAACTCATCAATTAGCGGTTCTAAAAACACATCTATGTCATTGCCAAGTGCATGCTTGCCCGGTATCAATAATGAAAGTATCATATACGGTTGTTTCATGCAAAGCCAAGGCGGTAAGTTATAAGGTGTTAATACAACAGGCTATGTAGACCAACCAGAACTCATTATCCCAAATGGATTGAATCCGTCGCTAGACAAACCTAGTCTAACATTCCTGCACTCATTCGCAAACGAAGGAAAAGTTCTATCCGCATGCTTCCATGCCTCTGCATCGGCCGGATGTCTGATTTTACTATCATCAATACGTTCCTCCATGTGCCACCTCATTTGCTTAGCAGTGTCTTTATTCATATACAACCGTTTTAGCCTTGGTATTAAGGGAAAATGACGCAGGACCTTTGCTGGAATCTTCTTTTGCTTAAACATAGACCTTGCTGTCCCATGTGTTGAATAATTTTTGCGTTGTACCCACCGTGATACTCCACAAATTGGACACTCCTGAAGATCTTTGTTATCCTTATAGTAGAGGATACAATCATTAGGGCATGCGTCGATTTTATTGTAATCAAGTCCTATAACGGAAACAATCTTCTTTGCGTTATCAAAATTTTCTGGTATGCTCTCTTTTCCATTTGGAATGACTTTTCTCAGCAACACAAGCAACATATTAAAATATTTATCTGCCATTCCACTAAGAGACTTTATACGCAAAAGACGCAGCATAAATGATAACCTGGTGAACTCGGTGCAACCCTCGTACAGATCATTTTCATTATCGTCTATTAATTTCATTATCTGCGCCAGCTCCTCATGATCAGTCACGCCTCCAGCATTTTCTGACTCGTCAGCATCCTCGGCATAATCAGATTGATCTATATTAGGAACTGTTAACATATTCGCAAGCATCGTATGTGTATCATCTATTCTCGTATCATCTATTCTCCCACCGAAAGTACCGGCATCCGCCATCAGTTCCATTTCTTCAAGACATCCTTCCCCATGAAACGTCCAATATTTGTACTCCTCATGAAATCCGGATATTAAGTGTTTTTGTAAATCACTTTTATCCACCAACGTCCTATTTTTACACCAACAACAGGGATAATACACGACGTCACTATTTAACTTCCGTGGGTCTGCCAATGCGTACTGTATGAATTGATTTATTCCATCTTTATATCGACTATCCCTCTATCTATCAATACGAGGAATATCGATCCATGATTTGTCGGGAACTATCCTCATAGATCTGTATGATATTAAGCATAATTAGGTAATGTGAATTTTTTTTAGTAACGCATCAAATTAAAGGTTGCGTGATATTAACTTTCTTCACGACATCAAGGAAATTTTAATTATAATAATCTCGGAGGGAAATTTACTAAAACATAAATTATGTGGGAGTAAAATCTAACACTCATATTTGAAATAAGATAATTTAACGGCTGTCATAGGAAATGGACCTATCCCATTAGGAATATAGTAGTGTCTACAACTACCTTTATATACTTTAAACGTTTTTATTTCTTGAAAATTTTAGTAGCACCTACCCGCAGTTCTCCGAGTACACTGTGCAGATGTTATAATGCGTATCAATCATTGATAATAGATCGATTATAAATCGATACGCAAAACAACATACGCTTATTTTACACAGAGAACAATGCGGTACGTGTTATCGAAAATTTTAAAGGAATAAAAATGCATAAAGTATACAAAGATAGATGATACACTACTGTATTCCTAACCTGTACGAGAAGGGGACTCCTCTCCGAACAGATCTAATAATTATTGCATGTATATTATGCTCCTAACATAAATCACGTTATTCTCTTTAGATGTAAAAAGTATTTTCACATCCAACTAGAATTGCGTGAGTTTATATCAGAAGAGATTCACATCCAACATTATTAGATGGGAAACTAGGGGTAACGACTTTCGATTCATAAATCATGATATATAACATATGCAATTGACTTTAACAACCTTTTTAGTACTATTGAAATATTTACTTCTACAAAAACTACATACAAATTTAACTAAAGTTTCTCTGTGCGCCCACCACTGCTGTGATAGTTAATAAGTGTACATTATTAGACAGGCATGGATTTAACATTGAAAAATATTCTACTACAAGCCTGAGCTAGGTTCTTACGTGCATCTTTAAGATAAACACTATCAAGTTATTTGGTTGTTTTTTGAAGAGAGTGCAGCAGTTTAATTTTTCCCACTAGGAGATGAAAAGTAACTCCGACATCTGCCTCTTAGAGTTGTGCAATTTTAAGTGATAAAAAAGATTAGACCAGTGCTCTAAATATTGCTAAGTCGTGGTGCTCAGGGCCCAAGGGCTGGATTCAACAGTCAGAAGCTTTGGATCATGGTAAGTGCTTGGCCTAAAAGCACCAAGAAATCCTATTTTTTAATTGTCAAAGATAAATGAACCTATTACTATATAAACCCTATATTCCACGCTAATCCCAAGCATTGGTTTCACCCCCACTTCACCCCCTCTAGTTACTGCTATCTCATGTGAGATGTCCCGCTTTCAGCACCAATTTTTGGCTTACCCTATCTATCTCACTTGACATCCCTCTAGACTGTCGCAGTCCTCTCTCTCTCTCTTTTTCTTCCTCTCAATACCTTCTGTGGTTCTCTTCTTACAGGTTCAACTCGCAATCTCATTTTTCATGGGTTATCTCACTGCTACATGACTTCATCACATCATCATAGAGGATCTTATGACCTCCCTCTACCATCTACCACTATTTGGTGGCAACTTCAGGCATTTCTTTACAATTCATTTTCAATCAAGTTAAGTAATTATTAGAGTAAACCCTAACTCGCCTGATTCAGAGATCTACTGTAAACAACGTACAATTCCTCGAAATCAAGTTAAGTAATTTCAATGATTGAGGGACCTAATAGAAATTTTAATGATCTAAGTGATAAATAATACATTGAGTGACTGCAGCGGTGAAGTCACGACGGCGGTGGACGCGGCGGCGGCGGCGGCGGCGGCCAAAGGGAGAGAAGCGACGGGAAATGTCCGAACTGAGAGCGGCGGCTAGGGCAAATTAACAGCGATAATGAAATTTTTGGAGGGATAAATCCCCCCAAAAGTAATTCAACATCGCTGACGGGATCCCGTCAGCGATGTTGGACCACCCGTCAGCGATTTAAACATCGCTGACGGGAAGGTTACAATGCCGACGGCTACATCCTTGACGGCTCTTGCCGTCAGGGATATAAACAACGCCGACGGCAAGCTCCCGTCAGGGATGTAACTACGAATTCTACTAGTGGTCTCGAGCAATAAGTTTAGCTGTGTATTGAGTGTTCCGTCGCCAACACCCCACGAGGCAGCCATAACAGGGGACGAACTATCCTAAGAATTCGGCTATTTAAGCTGCAGAACATAAAATGAAAAAAAAAGAGGTAAAGAAAGCATTATAAATATACTATTTGATGAAGTATATTTCAGGGACAAAGTAAAACTTGAATGGTCCAAAGATACCCTGCAGAAGGTCATGTAAATTTACTTCATCCGTTATTTTTGCTTGGACAAAAGGAATTTGAAGATATTGCTCCTTTGTTGCCTCATCTTAATAAAGCCTGCTCATTCTGAGCCCACTTCGAGGCCCATTAAAGCTCTACTCCAAATCGAGGTTCGCTCGGATTTCCTCCCCAAACCGCAGTCGAGTCCCAGTACGCTACTTGACTCGTGCTATAACCCAACATAATGTACTCGATCGAATTTGGACTGGGTGACCTGCTGCTTTCCAATTCAACATAATTCAAATCCTTTAAGAAGTAGGATGTTTGTGTTCAAATTGATGACACTTTGTGGACCGTTGGATTTCATCATCTAATGGATGATTAGTTTTTCTATTGCACGTAGGAGGAGGATTTGTTGGAGACTATAAATAAGCCCCTTCTCCGATCAATTTATACATCAGGAAGAGGAGAAGAGAGGATTAGTTCTCACTCTAATTGCTCGATCTCCTCCTTTTTCATCGCTATTTCAAGCCCAAGCCAAGCCAATAAAAAGGCCATATATATAGTTTTTTGAGTTACCTTGTTGAATACTTGCAAATTGCAGTAGACAACGTCTCAGAACGTCAAAGGTGAATGCAAGTAGAGATAGGTAAAAGCAGGTGATTTTTTTTTGTCCTTTACTGTTGTTTTTGTTAATTTTTCCTTGTCTTTCCCTTGTTATATCATCCTTTTTGTTATTACATCTAGCTATTGATACCTCAGGATTCAAATTAAAGTTCAAAAAGTTTGATAACCTAGTTTTACAATGAGTTTTTGTATAGATGTGCTGTCAGTAGTGTTCTCCAACTACTCTTAATGATAGTTTTCTTGTACTCGGAAAGATGGCATGATACTGCTAAAAATTAGTGCAATACTTACAGATAATACTATTCTTGGTTATATTATAGATGATTATGAACAATTTGAATGAATAATAGCGAAGGGTCAAGATCAACAAAGATCTGAGTCCAACGATTGCAATATGCATATAATTGTGTAGCATGAATGGTGTTCTTTACAAAAAATAAACTATTAATAGAACTTTGTTAGAGATTAGTATTATAAAATTAAATCAATGTCGGGTCGATTGAATTTGATTATGGTTAACCTTTATCAAATTGATTTTGCACGTAATATGTTTTGCATAGAACTATTGTTATGTCTTAATGTTTATTTTAATTCTAGATATAAAAATTTTTTTCCATGGTTAGTACTACGTATAAAAACAATTATTAGTTTCTTCTGGAGATTGATTAAGAGGTCCCGATTGAAATTTAGAACCGGGCCCCCAAATTGTCAGCCACGCCTCTGGCTTGGATTAATTTAGAAAAAATAGCGTGTTCTAGTCGTGTTACGATTCTAAACTAATGAAATAAGTATTAGGTTAGGATAATGATTCAATATAATGAAATAAGTATTAGGTTAGGATAATGATTTGAAATCCTAGTTGGATTACGGAATAATGAGTTCTTATGGCGTTGAGATTAATTTTAGCAAACACTGATTTAATGAATAAAGAGATCTAGTACAACACTAGGACCACTAGAACAAGTATTTCATATCTCTACTCGGTTTAGTGTTTATATTAATCTGTATATAATAAGCGCTCGGTCTGATTTCTGTACGTCACGCCAAGAGCAAGAGAGGGGAAAAAATTTCTCTTCAACCAGCTAATTAACAGCAGCCTTTCTTCCGCAGAATGTCGAGCAAGATCGTCAACCCTAATTCAAACCGCCGTCATTGTCGTCGGTGCTTATCCTCCGCCATCAATGTCTTCTGTCTCACCATTGGAATCCTTGGATTCCTCATCGGAGCCATGACTTTATACAACTACAGCGACTTCAACCTAACCTCTTGGCATGATGACTGGATTGTGGGCAGATCCGTTGCGCCCGCACCCGGCCTCAGCAAGAGGCGCCGGGTGCTCGGATTTGTAGGGGTGCAGACGGGGTTCGGATCGACGGAGAGGAGGAGAGCCCTCCGAAAGACCTGGTTCCCTTCCGACCCTCAAAGCCTCCGCCAACTTGAAGAATCGACGGGTTTGGCTTTTCGATTTGTGATAGGGAAGACGGGCGACGAGACCAAGATGGCGGAACTTAAGGGAGAAGTTGAAGAGTACGACGACTTCTTGATGTTGGACGATATCGAAGAGAGTTACAGCAATCTCCCCACCAAGACCATCTCGTTCTTCAGAGCGGCGTACGAATCGTTCGACGCCGATTTTTATGTCAAGCTTGACGATGACGTTTATTTAAGGCCAGGCCGGCTCTCTCTCCTCTTGCAAAGAGACCGCCCCCACCCCCTCACCTACATCGGGTGCATGCACAAGGGTCTGGTCTTGACCGACCCGGCACAGAAGTGGTACGAGCCTCGATCGAACTTGCTCGGCCGTGAATATTTCTCGTACGCTGGTGGCAGTATCTACGCGCTATCATACGAAGTTGTCGAGAACTTGGTTAGCTTGAGAAGAGACGTTGTTCGTCTCTTCAACAACGAAGATGTGATGATCGGGGCTTGGATGCTGGCCATGAACGTCCACCACGAAGATGACCGGGCACTCTGCGAGCCTGAATGCACACCGTCGTCGGTGGCTGTCTGGGATAACGGGTGCTCAGGGCTATGCAATCCGGAGGTGAGGATGTTGGAGCTACACGAACAAGAAATATGCTCGAGTAATCCCAGTTTTTAATAATAAATAAAACAGTCACTGTGACATCACAAATGTATTTTTTTTCCTTGTATACAGAGGCTATTATGATCAATAGTTAAGCAATTGCGTTGAGAAAAATGTTGAGTTTCAGTTATGCCTTTGACTTAGTAATATCAACATTATGAAAGCATAACATATTGTGCGTATGGATATTTCATATTTGCCCAGTGTACTATTTAGTATTTACTGAAATACATGGAGGGGGGTAAAAAAAATATTTAGTGTGCACCCCGTGCAAAGCACGACCTATTTTTTTATTTCCGCTACAATAATTTTTTTAAATGTCACAATATTTTTTTTGTAAATGCTACAATATTTTTTAAATGTTACAATATTCTGTTTGCGCTGTAGTAATTATTCTACAGTAATTCACCATAATATTTACTGTAGCATGAATAATGAATCTTTGTATCCTCCTATGAGTATAGAGGAGTAGATATGTGATGTCCAATTAATAATATTATGCGTCTAAAAGCAGACCACTTGGCTCCCGTGGATGCTAATCTAAGTTTCCTCCGTTTCGGCTTCCGTATTAAATTAGAATCCGAATAATATGCCATTTTCTTAAACAAATATTTAGCACATCCTTATGAAAGGAGGTGTTAGAATTGATTGTGGTAATTTGGTGTTAGAATTGATAGTGATAATTTATAGAAATAAATAAGTTCATATGAGTATTTGTGATAACCCCTAAAGTTTGGGGTTTTATTGGAGTAAAAAATTGGCTTTCTGACGGGTGGGCTAAATTCTAATAATTAATCATGAGCCCAAACTAAGTAGCTGATCGCCCAAATAAAATTAGGCTTTATGTAATGGCGCCTAAACCAGCCCCAAATAAAACCAGTTCTAACTGCTAACCCAATTTTTACTTGGACAAACTTATTAGAGCCCACAATTTTGGTTTGGTCCAGTTAAAAATAGTTATTCATTTGCATGCTGTTTTCGTTTTATTGTTTGATCTTTGTCCAAATTCTTTTTCTAATTATCAACCGAGAAACAAGATCTAAAAAGAAAATAGGGTTCACTACGCGAATGACGAAATTCATTTAACCATAGAGTTATATATCCAGATTTTTTCATCATATAGCTGCTTGAGTAACAAATTTCGAAACAATTAATTAGATGCATGAATATTTAATTTCCCCCCTTTTTTGTTTTTCAAACATTAGTCCCCCTTGATCTCCACCTTGAAACTTGTATATATATATATATATATATTTTCATCATATAGCTGCTTGAGTAACAAATTTCGAAAAAATTAATTAGATGCATGAATATTTAATTTCCCCCCTTTTTGTTTTTCAAACATTAGTCCCCCTTGATCTCCACCTTGAAACTTGAAGCATCTTTCAGGTCTCAAATTCAAAGCTTTGAATTGCATTAGGAAGTCTATTGGAAATGGTGAGTCTGCTTCACTCTGGTTTGATCCATGGATTCATGAAGACAGAATTATTGATTTACTACATCATCCTACACCTCAACTCACTGCCACAGAGAATTGGACAGTGTCATGCATCATTATAACTCTCAATGGAATATAATGTTGCATTGTCTTATGCATCTGGTGCATTCAATAACTAGAATCCCAATTTTTGGACAAAATGATCAATGGGTATGGTTACCTGCTGCTAGTGGTAATTTTTCTTTTGCTTCGGCTTGGGATCAAGTAAAGACTCCCTACCCTATGTTTGAGCTTTACAATGTGGTTTGGTTCCCTTCCTCAAATCCTAAAATGGCATGTTGTTTGATTAAAAGTCTATACAATAGACTGGCTACTAGAGACAGGCTTTCCAAATATGGGATTTCTTCAATTGAAGATTGTGTTCTTTGTATTGGTGAGAAGGAAACTAGAGACCATCTTTTCTTTCAATGCCCTTTTATAGCATTTTTTTGGAAACTTTGTAAGTTAAAACTATAGTTGGATGCTACTGATATTCAAGATCTTACATCTGAAGCGCTGCATATTCAACATAAATTCAAGGTGAAGGATAGAACATATAAACTGGCTAGATTGGTTTTAAGTGCAACTGTGTGGCATATCTGGCAAGAAAGAAATCGACGAATTTTTCACAAACAACTGATGCATAAGATAATGGTGTTTAGGAGACTTTATGAGGATGTTAATGTTTTGCTTAGAACTTGCAACTAGAAGGCTGGAAATGAGGTTGTTCTAGCTAATTGGAGCTTGGAGCTTGGACCCGATAAGTCATGTAGATAGTGTTTTTCCCTTAGTGATTTCGAGTTTTGTATGTGTAAGGGGCAATACTATCTTTCCTTTTGATTTGGCTTTGGGTTTCTTTGGTTTCTTTAGTTGAGGGTGACGGCTAGGGTCCTCTTCCCTCTCTGAAGTTTCTCAAGTTTGTTTATCAGTGTTGCCTAGCCAATTGATGTAAATATGTACTAGGGTTTTGGATATTAATGAAACTTACTTATCTTTCAATATATATATATATATATACAACTATATGTTTAAGTTGTGAAATAGTTACTTATGAACATTCATCAAGGTCGATCAAAATTAGGAGACATAGCTACTATCAAGATGACAAATAAATAGCAAGAAAAATATAAAACAGTTTCATCCTCTTCTTTTTTTTTTAACTAGGTTTTATACACGTGCAATGAACGTGGTTAAATATCATGATTAAGTATTTTTAGATTACTATCTAACTAAAATTTGTTCCTCAGTTCCACTTTAATAGTTTATGCTCACTTTAAATTTTCATGTTGATATTTGAATTGGTAAAAAGTAAATATAATTTGAAGCTAATTTAAAATTTTATATTATTTTGACTGACATGAAACCAAGTTTTACTTGAGAAAGTACAATGTTGCAAAAGTTAAAAATATTTAAATAATGTTATACAAGGAAGATGAATATTTAAAACCAATAAGGTAAAATGATTGGTTAAAAGTATGCTAAAATGATACAAAAGAGAATATAAAGTTTGTTCCTAATCATTGATAGGCTTTATAAAAATTATAAATTAAAGATTAATGCTAACTCTAGTATACTTTCATATGATAAAACCATCTGCACAAGCATATAAGAGTACTGAAAAAGCTCTTGAAACTTATTTCTGAAGATTCCTAAATTCACTCAAAATAATTAAATTATTCTATAAAATATTTAGAAATTATTATATTTTATTCCTTTTGTTTTATTTTTTATTAAGCTAAGATCAATCCTTCCTCACCTTTATCCTTTTCTCGGGCAATTCTAGAGTAGTGTCTTGATCATCTACTCGATTGTGATATCAGGCTAGAGTTGTATTTTTTGTGATGTTATCTTTCGTGGGCTCGTTAATATTTTATCTTGTCATTTAACTTCACAAAGAAGTTAAATGTATTTCCGATGTTCAACACAAACTTCTTAAAATACAGACTTTGGTTTTTTTTATTTCAATGAGAATGAATATTAATCTTATATATATGGAATTCTTTTGTGTTTCTAATTTATTACTTAAATAAGATTAAGAGTTACCTCTTTTTTCTCTACAATGAATTCTTCTGATGTGCATCCAATAAGAGTTTTTGCTATGTTAATAATATTACATTTTCTCTATCCCTGTCATTTTCCACAAAGGTCTAAACTAAATACCTGTATTTTTATTGCCAATTTGCCTTAGATTATAATATTAATATTTAATTTCTTTAGTATTTGAAGAACAAAGTATAAAATTTATGCAATTACTATTTTTTATATCTTCCATAGAGAATTCTTCTTTGATTGAGATAAAATTATTAAATTATTCTTTAATGTAACTCAGTTGCTATTTCTTTAATAGACATGCCTTATGTTAATGCCAATTCAAATAATTTATGAACGTTTTCTGAATTTTAGATTTATTTTCGTTAATTTCCCATTTGCAATGAAAATAACTTGATTCTTTTGAAGGATATCTCTGAATATTCTAATAGTTTCTCCATACGTAATTTATTATACTCTTTTACCCTATAAATATTATTAACATCAGAGATTAATATTTTTAGATTATAATTAATTAATGCTAAGCTATTATATTATAGCATTTTATTATTTTTATGGATTTAAACATCTATCAATTAATGTTACCAATGTGTTTTGCTGGACCAACTTATTAATAAAATTTTATACAGTTGCTTTAATTTATATGGTAACAATAATTTTTAAGCTATAATTTTTTTTTAAACTTTACTCCCTAACCGGATATTTTTAATCAATTCTTATTGCTTTTGTTTACCAGTATTAACTTAACTATCTTTAGATGCTGAACAGGGATAGTAATACCTAAATTGGAAATTAAATATATATATATCTTAATGAAAGAATACCTAACAATTATACTTTTCTTTGCCAAGCTTCAAAATTTTAGTTTTTTTTATGGTTTTGAATTTTAAGGGTGTGATTTGTAATTTTTAAAACTTTAGGAGTATTTTTTAAAAATTACTTTTAAGTTTGGTAGTTGTAACTTCTATGTTTCATGTATCGATGGTAATTTTTAAATGTCATGATATTTCTTACAACTCTGATATTTTGAGGTTGCTTAGGGTTGTTTTTTATAATTTGAATTTTTAAGGGTGTTTCTATAATTTTTGGGATATTGAGGGTGTTAATTAAAAATTTTAAATTCTTTGGAGGCTACTGTTAATTTATTGATTTCATGTTTGTTGTTTTAAGTTTTAAAATGTCAGAAATTTTCAGGTGCATTATGGTAATCCATTGAATTCATTTATATTGTTTGCAAGTTTTAAAATTTTAGAATTTCAGGTGCTTGTTTGTAATTTAAACTTTTGAGGGTATTTCTATAATTTTTGAGATATTAATATTTTAACTACAAATTTTAAATTCTTCGTAAACTGTTGCTAATTTCTTGTTTTCATGTTTGTTGTTTTAAGTTTTTAGACGTCGGGATAGTTTTTATAATTTTAAACTTTTCAGGGCATTTTGTGCAATTTTAAAACTTTTAGGTTTTTTTACAATACTTTATGTATTATAGTACGTTAGCTACGTATAATTTATTTATCTTAATAAACTAATACCATGAAGATGTTTTATATATTTTATTAATATTTTTTTAAAATTGTTAAGCTATAGATAATTCACGTAGGATTAGGATAGGATATAATTATGATTA